CGGCAGCCGGGGTCAACACGGGTACGCACGCTGTGCTCTCACCCTCTCTCTCCCATGCAGCTAAGCGGCCCCACGCACATGCTCTCCCATGTCGGCGTAGCTAGGCGGGCCCCACGCACATGCTCTCCCCGTGCAGGTGCAACAGCAGCACGCGCGAACCCAGCAGCAGCAGATGCGGGCACGAAGCATGCGGGTAGGCACAGCAGCATGCTCGGGCGCAGCAAGCCGACAGCCGGGGTCAACACAGGTACGCGTGCTGTGCTCCCACCCTTTCTCTCGCATACAATTAGGTAGGCCCCACGCACATGCTCTCCCATGCAGGCGCAGCTAAGCGGGCCCCATGCACATGCTCTCCCGTGTAGGCGCAGCAGCAGCACGCGTGGGGCTCGAAACATGCGGGGTTGGCGCAGCAACACGCTCGGGGCATAGCAAGCCAATCAGACGCAGCAGCAGCACGCGCAGACCCTACAGCAGGCACGGGACGCGAAACACGTGGGCGCGGGCGTCCACACGTCCGGGCACATGGCCCCTGGGTGTTTCCCATCCGATTGTTGTAACCGAATTGATGTCTTTCGTCAAGGCAGGGGCTTGACCCTAGAACTCTAAAAAAAAATGAAGCAGGTGTGCCAAAGGACGAAGATAATCCACATTCGAAAGCAACGGACGCAAAATTCTGGTACATGTGTTCGAAAAACATGGCTGTAGTCAGGTGACAACTAAGGGAAACAAACACAATATGCAATCTCTTGTTGCTTCCATTCCAGACAGCAGCACAGGTGAAGATGTTTACTGCAAAACAGCGCGCTACAGCAGGCACAGTAAATTGTCAGGATGGCACCATCAGCATATAAACTAAACTGTTGTCTCCCTAAACACATATACACAAAAGGAAAAACACAGTACCTGCAATTTACTGTTCACGCCTTTTTATCTCTTCTATTTGTGGTCATTTCACGCAACAACAAACTTTACATGAAACAACCATTGGAGCATAAAGCAACTAGTAACTGATCTAGCAACCTCAAACCATTGCCCTATCACTCCCTCAAACCATAATCTGGTAAGTAGATTCTGGATCAAATGCAGTAGCCTAAGCTTAAATTATTATTACCAGAGTTGTTCTACGTGTTATTGAAAGAACAGGTCTCTTAGCATACACTAATTACAAATGTTGCACTCATGTCCATTACCAATAATTTCATTGCAAAGCATACACTAAAAGCAAAAGCAGTTTCACTTGGGAATCCATGTGGTGCATGCCTGATTACCTGAAACAAATGCTAAGAACAAACATAAATGTAAGCGGTGGAAATCAAGAAACAAAGGACTGCACAAGCATTGCTTGAGGCTCACCAAATTGCACGCAGAAAGCCAGAAACATCACGTTAAAGCTGTAAATCCATAGTTTCAAAATGTGCCCCCAAATTCTGTTTTCCTGGAATGCCGACAGAATAAACGATGACGAAAGAGAACGGGATATCATTCTACAGTGTTTTGCAAAGTAAATAGCCATCAAGGTTTATACATGTTCAGCAGTGGCTCATCTCCTACTCCAGTAACAGAGTAACCACTACCCAAACTCCTTTGTGTTGGTGCATGATCCTGTAAAACATTAAAAAGAAAAAAAAATCAGTTGATATTATTCAGAAAATCATTAACAGTAGCTGCCAAGAACTTAGACCATACTTCATCTAATCATAAATACAAGCCCATCAAGGTTTTGGGCCAAACTTTTTAAACTTTGACTATCAATATCGAAAATTTCATATATAGATTAACAATACAAGTTTGATACTCTGTCCCAATATATAAGGCATGCATGTATTTCAAAATTCACTTTTTTTTTATCTTTGATCAACAATTAGCCTAATCATACGAAAAATTTAAGTACAAAAGCTGTTACGGATTTGTATTTAGAAATACTTTCTAATGATCAAACTTTTGTTGCCATGAATTATATATTTTAAGAGAAAGTAGTGGTCAAAGTGTGATCTTGAAGACCGCACCAAGTCAAATCGTGCCTGATACCTCATCAAGAATGCTTTCATAATATATAACTACTTCTACTTAATACAATATGTTTGTAATAATATTGTTAGTCAAAGTGCAATATGGAACACATGTCAATGTCCTAATGGGCCTATAATTGTGATTGCAGGAAGATAATCGTTTTAAAACAAAACTAAATAATAGAAAAAATTCTTGCTAATAGCATTATTAGGTTATTGGAATGCATACACACACACACACACACACAATACATCATTTCAAAGGCGACCCAAGCCGAGCTAGGTATGCCTTATCGCCTACTCCCTCATAGGGTTTCGTGCTGGTCAAACTTTTTAAGTTTTACTAGATTTGTAGAAAATATTGTATAAACCACTATCGCAAAAAAATATAGTGAGATAGCTATCCACTAACATGCATTTCTAATATCTTTTATTTGAAACAGTAGAGACCAGAGCTGTAGAAGAGAGTATTTCTGAATCATTTGTACCAGCTAGAAGTGAAGATCTAACTATTGATGATTAGACATATTGCAGGAGGTAAGCTCTAATGCTTCTGTTGTTGGCCTCTTAGTATGTGCAGTTCTAGGCTTCTAGCTGATTATGTGTTTGCTGAGCTGAACATGTCTTCTGTATGATCAAGCTCTGTATGATTAAGCTCTAACGCTTCTGTATGATTATTAGTGTTGATTTGTCACATTGTCACTTCACAACATGAAAGTATGGATGATGATTTATCCAAAAAAAAGATGTCTTCTTCTGGAAGTTAAATTTGAGTCCTCTTAATCTGACCAAGTGTGGATGTTAATTTTTTTTCATAATCCATATGTATGGCTAAGTGCTTGTTGCTTGCTTTGTTGTCATTTTAACAGATAAATTTTTTATCTTTATGTATGGATTGTACTGCATTGCAAACCATGTCTGGTCATCTCTTTATTCTTTGCTAACTCTTGTTTGTATTTCAGCCAATGAACAGTTAGAAGGAAAGAAAGAGTTGTACAAACATGTCAATGAAGAAGTGCAAGTTGAATAGTAGAATAGGTTGGCAATACAAGAAAATTAGCTGTCCAAAGTCTATCTATTTATTTATCTGTAAAATAAAATGAAGCTAGTAGATATATGCTTCAGCAATAGATATCTATGGTTGATGTCCCCGTTGCAGCAGCTACGGAAACATTAATATTTTTTGGTCCTCATCGTTATTTTTACAGTTCATCATACAAACTGACTTACAGTATTTAAGTTGACAAAAAATGGTATTAACAATCTCTTGTGCACGTGTTCTTTTTTCCTATGGAGAGGTCTGCATGTTCACTCATTGCACTTAGCGCTTTTGCATCAGCGTTGTCTTGCTCTGGCCGTTGTCTTCCAGTGACCAAGCAGAGTCGTAGAGAGATGTCCTCTGTGTCAACCGTTACCCATAAGGCCATAATTATTACCCATTATCTATCGGGTATGGGTAATTTAAATTTAAATGGGTATGGGGAGGGTTTGGATTGGGGAAAGATCTCATGGGTGTGGATGTGAAATAGCAGGAGTATGCCCAAACTTTACCCAACGGCATCATTATTTATTATCTATAATACATATATAAACAGTATTCCTGAGATGAAAAGCATGGCGCAGAAATCAGACAATTCCTTCTTAAGAAATCCCAAGAGAGTATTTCAACACAGTTCTACTCCCTCCGTACCAAATTATAAAACATTTTGGCATTTCTAGATACATTGCTTTCATTTTCTATCTAGACATAGTGTATATTTAAGTGCATAACAAAAGCTATATATCTAGAAAAGCCAAAATGTCTTATAATTTGGAATGGAGGGAGTATAAACAATAAAAGCACAACTCATGATTTTCAGTAGGATGCAAAATCGAGTTGCAACAGCTACCCAATCAAATGCTAAGTTAAATAATCTTGAGTCCTTAACTATCAACATAGAGATAGCGAGAGATTCAGACCTTTTTCCCCTCCTCAGCGGTTGCGCTCAGGCGGCAGAGGGCGGTTGAATCCGCCGCGGCGGTTCATGTACTGGCGCGGCTGGCGCTTGGAGACGACACGCACCCCGCTGACGTCGGCGTCGGGCACGTGCTTTCCCTTGGTGGAGTCGAACCCGACGGGGATGCCCATCATCTTCATCATCTCCAGTTCCTCCGCATCCACGTCGCCGTCACCCACCGCCGGGGCCGCGGCCGCGGGGTCCCCTCCGCCCTTGGGTGTCGCGTTAGAGTCGGCGGCCTTCTTATCCTCCTTGTGGTGGTGGTCGGCGGTGGCAGGGGACGCCTCGCGGCGGCGCTTGTGGCGGCCGGCGTCGGGGGAGGGGGACGAACGGCCTCGGTGCGAGTGGGAGTGGCGGCGGTGGGAGCGGTCCCGGTCTGCCGACGGAGACCGGGACCGGGAGCGCTTCCGCTCGCGCTCGCGGCGGCGATCGCGGTCGCGATCCCTGTCCCTGTCCCGGTCCCGGTCGCGATCTCGGTCGCGATGGCGGTCGATGTCGCGGTCCATTTCACGGTCGCGGTCGCGGGGCTTCTCCTTGTCGCGGCGGCGGTCGGACATTTCGCCGGCGAGAAAGGGGAGGAGAGGAGCTAGGGTTTGGGACGGTTTGGTTTGGAGACATATATGAAAGTCAGATTTGACCTGGACCCACCTGTCAACTTTTATTTTTATTTTTTCCTTCCTCCTTTCTTCCCGTCGTCCGCATCCGCATCGCCCACGCGGCGGGTATGGGCACGGAGGCCCGCGCGCTCGCGACGCCACGCGCCGCCGCCGCCCGCCCACAGCCCCTCGCGCCGTCGCCCGCCCGCGGCACCGCGCGTCGCCGTCCGCCCGTGCCCGGTTCGTCGCCATTCGCCCGCAGCACCGCGCGCCGCAACCGTCCGCACGCCACCAGGTCCGCGCTCCTCTCCTTCTAGCCCACAATCGCGCGCGCGTGCTCGTCGCACCTGAGACGACCCGTGCTCGTCCGCATTGAGGCTGCTTTACCTTGGTTTGCCATGGCCATGGATGTGCTCGTCTCGGTTGCATTGGACGAGGTGTGTGCCAGCCTGTCCGCAGGCCTCCCAGTAACCGGCCTATGGACTGCGCTCTCCGGTGAGTTTGAGGCTGCCGGCCTCCCTCTTGACCTGGCCGTCAAGAGCGCCCTCTTTGCTCGTCTCATTGCGCTCCCTCACATCAGCCTCATGGAGCGTAAACCTGGTAAAAAACCAGGTGAACAGGGTAAACCGGACGACACGCTCGTCCACTCGGCGGCGAAGACTGTGGAGGCGGCCGAACGGCACGGCGCTCTGCTTTTTGCGAGCCCGGCTCTCAGCAATAACTTCCTCGGGATTTATGACCACAGGTACTCCGCTTCGAAGCTAAGTGCCAAGCAGAAGGGGACGCTAGAACGTGTCGGAGCAAGCAGGTGCGCTCTTGTGTATCATTTGTGCAAAATGTCATATCTTGCTACACCCTCTCTGTTTTATTATGATTGGAGAGTTCCTTGTCAACCAATATATATTATTTAATGTGAATTCTAATGATGTCACTGAGGAAATTCCAACTGAGCAGGTATGGCCGGTCAGTAATTTTATATTTCTTGTCAGCCAATATATATTATTTAATGTGGATTTTTTTGCCTTGGATAATCAGGTTGTGCAATGTGCAGCCAGCACAAGCACCGTAGTTCCAGAGACTGGATTCCGTGAACATCTCGAATCGTGTAGACTTACCCATTCAGTCCATGCAAGTAAGAACATGGCAATTCCCTGCAGAGATCATGAAAACATCATTGAACTCAACAAAGCTGACATTACTAAAAGAGGCACATGCAAATTCTTGGCAATTGCCAATGCATTAGAACTCCTGAAGGTTTTCTTTCTCAGCTCATCGTTGGGTTCAGAAGCGCAAGCTGCATTAATAGCCACCTTTCAGCTTTATTCAGAGAGCGAAATTTTTACTGCCCTTTCCTTTTTGAGAGAGAAGAACTTCATGGTTAGTATGTGTATCTTATCCATCAGTGTTTCGAATCTCTTTTATTTATTTCTTCACTATGCTCTAGATGTTTTGATGTGTAGTAGCTCCCCTTGTTGGGACATGCATCTAAAAATCAAGTGTATTGATAATATCATGTTAAATTTAACATCTTGCATGCAATGTTGAGCCTTGCTAGCTGAAAAACAAGCGGCCTGTTCGGGAGGCCGTAAACGATCGTGGATTATTTACTGCTGGCTGGTTTGGTGTGAGAGAAAAACACTGTTCCTGACTGGAAATTTACGATCGTTTATGAGCAAGCGAACAGGCAACTTGCTATTTCCCCTCAACTTTTGCATGACCTATTTCTATAGGTAGCAGGTTCATAGGATTAAACATATATCTGTAATGTGGTCCTATCACAAACCACCATTTGGAGATTATCTTCATACAACTTAGATGCACTAAGATATGCTTGCCTATGGTTGATGTCAATGTTGGATTCTCAGGTTGATATCTGAACTATGTTAAGCCAGAGTTTAATTGTGCGTATTTACATTCCTGCACCGTTATCTTTGACTTTTACATACTAACCCCTATTTTGCAGGTTACTGGAAATGGAATGAAACCTGTAACCCTTTCTGGAAAATTCTTCTTTAATGCTTCTTATTCACCCTTCCCATTTGGTTCAGGAAAAAAGGCTTCTGAATCTTCGAAATGGCTTGTAGGGCAGCAAAAGAATATTGTGGACAGTACAGTTTGTTTGCATCCAGATCTACATTGCAAGGAACTTGTTCGCCTCTTTTCTCTAGTATTGTCAGGAGAGCTGCTTATTTTACCTTCCTTGCCGAGTGGAGGAGTTGGTGAGGCTGACGAACCTAACAGCTTCAGTCCTTTAATTGAGGATACCAGTGAATTGGATTGCCGTACTCATAAACTCAAGGCTACAGAGTTGAAAAGCAGTAGGAGTAAGAAACAGAAACCTTTGCCCAAGATAGATAGTGACTTCTGCTACCGTCGAGATAAAGGCTTCCCTGGTATCCAAGTGGCTTTGACTCAAGAGAGGATTCAAACAAACAATCTCATGCAAATGTTACATCATAAAGATTGCCTTGTGTTTACTTTAGATAGGGAAATGGGCTGCAAGAATGTTGACTCCCAGGTTGAAAGCCATGACATCTTGTCAGATCTAAATGATCTGAGTTCATGTCGCTGTTTATTGTCTGCATCTCGTTTGGAGAATTCTCATAGTGGATGGCCTTGGGATACTATGGAAGTATATGCCAAGCAGTTGCCATCATTATCTTGTAATAAAGACGAACCATTCTTTCTTTCTTCTGACCTGTTCAGAGATGCATTTTGTATCATTCATCAAACTGGTGAACAAGGAATTAATTTGAGGGAAATTTCACAGGCATTGCATCCGCTAGGTACTCTTTGTTCTTGTGAACAAAAATTGGTATAGTTTTTGTAGAAATTGCATTAAGCTATGTTTTGGTAGGGTTCATTTTGTTTGCTTGTGTCCCGCGCAGGAATGCAATCCATCAGTTTGGTCGTTGATATGCTTGAGAGATTTCAGCTGGTCATGAAGGTACATGTGTGAATATATATGTACATAGTAGATAAGGGTACCTGCTTTTATTTTTTTCATTACTGTCTACGTATTCTTATTCTTAATTCCCCATAAATTTCAACAGACAGATACTGATATTCCCTTTCCTTTTATATTGAGTATAGCACACTGATAATTGTCATCAACATTGTTAATCTATACCCCTCTGGTTCAGGATACTTATGTTAGACTTGGGCACAAGAACTAAGCAGGTAGATAAAATGTCCATCTGACAACCCTATTAACCGTCTCTGAAGTGTTCATGCAGTGTACTTAATTATGCAATTAAGGGTAAGAATTTTTTTTCCAAATTTCCTAGACCAAGTATTCTGGAGATTTTGAACATCAAGTATTTTCTTTATTTACACCACATGAATAGTTGAATACATATAGGAGTCTGAATTTTGTCAATGGCAGATCAATGCATATGATGGCGTGCAGATTGTTGATTCAATACATAAGCCAAAATATCATATAAGGACACCTGTCAAATACAGTCATTGCAACTGTTTGCGAGGTCCGGCTTCTGAAGTAGCATCGATTGAAGACACCAGAAATATACTGGAAGAGAAGCATGCAATGCCTATTAATTTGCATGGAACTGTAAGGAAGGTTGGCGATGGGCGCACACTGACAGTTCTTAATGTTCAAAGAAAGGCGAGTTCTCATTTGCACAGCCAAAGTCCTGCAGATGATGACGAGCCATCTACTTTGAACTTGGGCAGTGGTTGCTGTCATGTTTGCAAAAGTCATATTTATCATCCAATATTACCATGGATAAATGGTGATGGCAGCATGAATGGCACTGTCTATGAAGGTTTAAGTCGTCGAATTATTGGATATGTCATGCAGTATCCAGGAATTTCGGAGGTGTGTCTTTATTATATTTATTTAGACCTGCTTATTTTGTGATGGGAAGTTTTCTGAAGTTTTTTTATATGCAATTGGATTTGTGAGTTCTTGGATTAGTGGTATTAATGTTATATGCAGCAAGTATGCTTGTATTTAACATACAAAATAGCTAGTCTTCTAGGAAGATTTTATTTATGAGTGTCACAATTCTAAACTTCAGGTACAAAAATGGGAAAATCACTGATAGATCCAACATATACATTGAAATGTTCCATTGTGCATTTGATGGTCATGGCTTGTTCGGTTTATGTTTGTGCTGTTGTGCTTCCACTGCGCTTGTTTCATGTATATGCTTCCCTTCATTCTCTTCAATCTTCATATCATATATCATATATAAGAAGTCACTTAAGCCCAGATGCAGGTTTCTTAAATTCATCAGACAGTTCTTCTAAATGTTACTGAAAGATGTTTCGATTTCCTTATCGAGTTATGATTCTGCCCCTCCTCTCAACCTTTGTAAGACTTGTTCCTGTTTTTTTTAATGCATTCTCTCCTGTAGGGGCTTTTGCCCCTCCAGTTCCCTCAAAAAAAAAGTTTGATTCTGCCTATGATTGCCAATATTGTTTGAATTAAAAGTTTGATCGTTTGCTTTGCTCGACGTGCATCAGGAGGATGTTATCCATCGTATGGATGTTCTGAATCCTCAGGTATGTTGGCTACATTATCATGTTTGCACTTTGTACTATATTCGTTATTAAATAATAGTTTGATTTCAAATTCCTTCCTCTATGTTTACCATCTCTGTCTGCAGACATGCAGGACCTTGCTGGGAAAGCTGACAGTTGATAAACACCTCTATGTCCGGGTGTCCGATGAACCAGTGCCAGCTGCTCCCATCATGCTGCAGAGTCTTCTGCGGCAAGGTCACTACAAAACCCCCTCCAAGTCTGGAAGGCGGTACTTCGCTAATCCGATGAGTACCTCCATGCTGTAGGACGATGCGGATGGCTTGTTCAGTTATACATTTACTATTGCTAAAGCTTTTGTACACCTCGAGAGATCCGTGGTTAATTGGTTACAGTAGCAGTACTTTTGACAGGACAGTTGCGCGGTAATGAGACCTTTAATTCAGTACTCATTCCGTTCCAAATTATAAGTTGTTCGGGCTTTCTTTAGAGATACATAGGAGTAGCTCTTTAGCATGTATGTAGACAATTTATATATGTAGCAAAAGTTATGTACCAGCAAAGCTAGAACGACTTATAATTTAGAATAGAGGGGGTACTATTTTATTTTTACTGTTACGCTATCAGAACGACTTATAATATTGGATCGCTGTTTTCTTACTGAGTGCCGTACATCGGGCCATCAGTGATTCAGTGGGCAGTGGTGCTGAGCAGGTGCGATGGATGCGCCGGCTGGAGAACGTGTTGTGTTGGCCGTTGGGCCTAAGGATCAGTGATCGGGTGGAGTCTCCGTGCACCCAAAACCAAACCCGAATCCACCCCGAAACCGTTCGGATGGAAATCTCACCAAAACCAAACCCACGAGCAGGTGCGATGGATGCCCAAAACCATGGATATATATATACCATATTCACATGGCTGGAATAATCTAAGTAAACGTATATTATAAAACATGTTTTAATTCCAAATGTTGGCCGTTCCACGGCCCCGAAACAACAGCATCAAAACGAGGCGCTCCGTGCATTTTAGTACACACTGGTTGCAAGAGTAACAGGCCCGGCATCAGCAGGTGTAACACTTTCTGTCGAAACATTTTTTGTTTGTTTTGTTTTTGTTGCTATTTGTCAGTCATCACATGCTAAGTATTCTATTGTCTTATCAGAAATTCGGGCAGCAGATTCTTTGTGTCATATTGCATAAAAAGATTGTAACACTAATGTTGAATAAAGTAGCTCTGTTCTGTTTGTGGTACTCACCTAGGACTAGAATCTGGGGTTTGGAGTTCTGTTGGCACGATGTGGCGCTTTCAAGGCTCAAGTAGTTGGCGGCGGTTCCATGTTATGTATTACAGAATATGGTACCCTTATTTACTATTTAAAATTTAAGATGTTTCGCCACATTTGGTTTGGAATGATCGGTGCGTTTGTCATAAATTATTTTCTTATAAGCATTTCGTAGATAAGACGTGGTAGAATAGATAGTCGTAATAGACAGTTGTTACACTGAACTAGATGTTTCGATTTTTCGATTTCACATCAAATCTTGAATGATTATACTCTAATCGTTCATAGAAAACTCATATAATATGATGATTGGGTTCAAATAAAATGTTGTGGATATCATATTCGAAATATCATTTTTTAATAGTATACCACACATTCTAACTCAAACTATCATGGCATTATTTTTTTCCGGTTGCAATACACGAGCATGATCCTAATATATAAGAAAAGATACTAAAATTTGTGATATGCAATACTCACTCCGTCTAAAAAGAATACAATTCTTATTTTTCTAGGAGTCAATATTTTAAAGTTTAATTAAATTTATATAAAAATATTAATATTTATGACAATAAATAAGTATCATTGTATTGATTATGTGATATATTTTCATGGTGAATCCAGTTGGAGACATAAATGCTGATAATTTTTCTTATAAACTTGATCAAACTTAGAAAAGTTTTAGTTATCCAGAACCTAGAATTGTATTCTTTTTAGGATATTATATTTTTATAATTAATCTATTTAGAGATACATATATTAGTACTATTTCTTTATAATTTAGTCAAAAGATAATTTATTCTAAATCTAGGATGATACTCCCTCCGTCCCTGAAAGAATAGATTTCTAGAGTGAAAATTTATTCTCAAATAAATCAACTTCTAGGCCTCATCATCCATTAGACCCATTTATTTTCTCGGAGTTTCCAACTATCAATGTACTCATTTATTCCCCCTAGACATGATGCTTCAATGGTTGATCTAGTATGTGCAACAACATTTAATATATTATTAGAAACAACAAAACTCGTTGCTCCAGCTTGTCGGTAAGTGGTGAGTGCAGTTAAAGTTAAGAATCTTAGTGAGGGGCAGTAAGGTATTTTCTCTTCTATGCTAATTTGTCCTAAACTTACTAAAAATCTATTATTTCAGATAGAACAGTATTTTTTCGCACAACAATTAAGCTAAAACAGTATTTTAACTTATTTTTAGACCAGCCGAACGCTCCCTGGAGTATTCTTTTTGACACCGTCACGGGAGTATCCATCATCTGTCCTTGTCCAATCGCTGCACCCCGCAGCCAGACGGCTCGTCACTCGTCAGTCCTAAAAGGAAGAGGAGGAATTCCCGTGTGCTATTAAAAAAAAGATCGTAATGATTCGTGTGTCTCTAGAAAAGTTTAGTGGTCTTCAGCGTCACTACTTTAACTTTTTCGTGTCCTCCATGTCCACTTTCGTCAGTTTGGGCTCTAACGCCGTCAAACTGCAGGTGTGAAAAGACGAAAATAACCTTAAGTCTAAATATGTTATTGATTTTTTTGAGTATCTTAACAACTTCAAATGAAAAAACTCAAAACTAGAAAGTTGTAGATCTCGTCGAGATCTATAATTTTCATATAAAAATTATTTTCATTTAATTCCACAAAAAATATGATTTTTCTAAAATATATTAATCATATCAATTTTTTTTACGGAATTAAATGAAAATAATTTTTATATGAAAATTATAGAACTCGATGAGATCTACAACTTTCTAGTTTTGAGTTTTTTCATTTGAAGTCGTTAATATGCTAAAAAAAATTAATAACATATTTAGACTTAAGGGTATTTTCGTCTTTTCACACTTGCAGTTTGACGGCGTTAGAGCCCAAATTGACGGAAGTGACATGGAGGACACGAAAAAATTAGAGTAATGGCGTTGAAGACCGCTGAACTTTTTTTAGGGGCACACAGGGTATTGCGATCTTTTTTAATGACACACATGAAATTATCTCAAGGAAGAGAGGTCTAACGAAAGTAGTCGTATTGGGCCGTCAAACTGGATGGGATCTAAGCCTTGCAACCACGATGGGTTAGTTTGCTCCCATGATTAGCATGGGCCTGCTGCTCCTAATCGAAAAAAGTCGACATTACCTCACTCAACTTTTGCGAAAGTCCGATTTTTCTCTCTGAACTCCATAACCGAGCAAAACACCTCCCTCAACTTTTAAAACCGTTCATCTTACCTCCATGCCCCTGTTATAAGCAGTTTTGAAGGCGGTTTTGTCTTTTTCTTTTTTTTTATTTATTTCGGCTGAATCTTTGAAAAAAACATAGTAAATCACAAAAAAATCATAAAATGGAAAATTCAATTTTGTTGGACTCCACATGAGTAGATCTACACAGTAAACATATAATATGGTATGCTTTAATACAAAATTTTTGCTATGGCTTTAGATCTATTCTTTTCTGTAATTAATTAGAATAATTCATAGCTGCAGTTTCTATGGCCCAATTGTGATTAAATTTTTATGATGGGCTAATTATTGTATGATTGAACTATATTAAAAATTTCATACTCATTGGATCATGCATTCTTAATTATAGATTTATTTATATTTAACAAACATAAACCTAAATAAAATATATAACTAAGTTATACATCATCCAATGAGTATGAAATTTTTACTACAGTTTAATCATACAATAATTAGCCCACCATAAAAAATTTATCACAATTGGAACATAGAAACTGCAGCTATGAATTATTCCATTTAATTAAAAAAGCATAGATCTAAAGCTACAACAAAAACTTTGTACTAATGCATACCATATTATATGTTCACTGTGTAGATCTACTCATGTGGAGTCCAACAAAATTAGATTTTCCATTTTATGATTTTTTTATGATTTACTATGATTTTTCAAAGATTTAGCCAAAATAAATAAAAAGAAAAAGATAAAACCGCCTTCAAAACTGCTTATAACATGGCTAGAGAGGTATGATGAACGGTTTTAAAAGTTGAGGGAGGTGTTTTGTCCGGTTTTGGAGTTCAGGGAGGAAAAACAGACTTTCGCGAAAGTTAAGTGAGGTAATGTGGATTTTTTCTCTCCTAATCCCTAAGTAGTCTTGGTTGGGGTAAAATAGGGCCGTTGTTTTTCGAAATTGCAACGGGCCAGGAGGTCCTAAACGGCCTTTCCTTTTTTTTTAATTCCAAACAAATAACAGCCATTTCTTCAGATTCAGTGGTCGTGTTTGGGACGGCGACCCAACGAACATAGTTAGAATTTTATTACTTTTGGAACAGAGGGAGTAGCATAGAAGCTAGAGTTTATTATACAGCGTTTGAGCAGAGTTGTTGACTTGTTTGAGTTTGGCGAAGTCGAGTGCTAGACTGCCAGTGCCTCACCGTCTGTTTGTGGCCAACGAACGAAGTGACAAGAAAAGGTGACGCCGGACGCGTGCCGGCTACCGGCTACCGAAGCCAGGCAAGACGGTCACACGCTGCATGCCGCGGGACTGGTGCGTGACCGGTCCTGATGCCTGCCGTATCAGCACTGATGATCCTGGTGTCGTAACAAACAGTTATCCATTCCTGTCTCCCTCCGGATGACCAAACTCAGTGACTGACCGCACGGCGCACGCTAGGTATAAATTAAAACCCAGCCCGATCCGATCCGGTCCAAAATATCCAGGCCTTGTTTAGATACTCTCAAAATTCCAAGTTTTTTCACTCTCTCTCCATCACATCAATTTTTAGCCGTTTGTATGGAACATTAAATGTAGGTAAAAAAAATAATTAATTGCACAGTTTAGTTAGAAATCACGAGATGAATCTTTTGAGCTTAGTTGGTCCGATTGAATTGGACAATATTTACCAAATAAGACGAAAGTGCTACTATTCATCGAGTTGAATTTTTTTTCAATCTAAACAAGCCCCAATGCAACGCGCCGGCGCCGCCCGCGGGAGATGGCGACCGGCACTCGCACCGACCACCTCGGCGCGCCTTCTTTCCTTTCCGTCCAGGACCCAGTCGTCGCCTCGTC